ATTTCGTGTTCAATGGTCGTTTATATCATCAAGTTGACGGCGTAGCTATGGGTAGTCCTTTAGGACCTTTGTTTGCTAACATATTTATGTCCTTTCACGAAAAGGATTGGCTTCACAACTGTCCTTCGTCTTTCAAACCACTTCTCTATAGACGATATGTTGACGATTGTTTCCTACTTTTCCGTTGCTCAGAGCATGTACAGCTCTTTCTTACATATCTTAATCGCCAGCACACCAACATTTGCTTCACTAGTGAGGTTGAACGTGATGGTAAGCTCCCATTTCTTGACATTGACATATCCCGCTCCAATGGAAAATTTTCTACTTCTGTTTACCGTAAACCTACGTTTACTGGTCTTTTTACTAACTTCCATAGCTTCATTCCACTTACATACAAACGCAGCATAATATCTTGCTTAATACACCGCATCTTTAGCATTTGTTCTAGCTATGAGACTTTCCATCACCAACTTGAAGCAGCACGTAGAATGTTTATCTTAAATGGTTTCCCTTCTCATATGTTCGACCGATGCGTTAGAACATTTCTCAACAAAGTATTTCAACCTAAGCTACCTGTTCATATTGTTCCTAAGAAAATAATTTATTTCTGTCTCCCTTTTACGGGCACTCACTCCTTGCAAATTCGCACGCAAATCAACCGTCTTTGTCGTGCTGCTTTCCCACATCTTGATATAAGATTTGTCTTTCGATCAACTAAACGGCTCTCAACCTTTTTCTCTTTTAAGGACAAAATACCCAAAGCACTGAAGTCGGGTGTAGTGTACTCTTTTACGTGTCGATGCTGTTCCGCATCGTATGTGGGTCAAACCACGCGCCATCTACACACCCGAGTTTCGGAACATCTGGGTATCACTCCTATCACTGGCAAACAATGTAAAAATCCTCCCCAGTCCAGCATTTTTTCACATCTCACATCCACAGGCCACGCTGCTTCTATTGACGACTTCGAAATCCTCTCCTCTTGTTCAGATGAACAAGAACTCCTTATTCATGAAAGCTTTTTTATCTCTAAAATGAAACCCTCTCTCAACGTTCAAGGCAGTTCAATCCCTCTTCACGTATTCTGATCTCTTTTTTTTTATGTTTTGTCTGTTTGTGTTGTCTAATTTGGTTGTTCTTATTTTTGTCCGTCACTTCCCTTCATTATCCATTCTTATCCTTACGTTTTGTGTACCTCGTATTCGCTTGTAATTTAATATTGTTATAATAGCTTTACTTTATGCTTAATTACTCTTACAGCTTGTAATTTAATATAGTCTGAAGATGTCTTGAGTTAAGACGAAACGTTACTAAATCTTTAATAAAATTTTTAAATTTAATGGTTTATGGCTCTTTTAAAAGCACTTTGCTGGGCATTAATATTTATTATCAGAATATTATAGTCCAGAAAACGACTCTCAAACAAGGCATTGTAAAAGTCTGAAATTTTTCTCAGTTCCTTTTCAGTTTTCCTTTCTAATTTGATTAAGATGCGAATGCTTTTCAGTATTCTGTAATTTAAGGGTACCTTTATTACTTTTGTATTATACTGATATATTATAAGTATACACCTTACTATTGTCTATTGTAATTTGTATCTTTCTTCAATGCAACTATATATATATTAATCGCAATTCTATCATTTCTTTGAAAAACACTTGAACTCCACTACATATATTCTAATTAAATAATGTAAATTGATAATCTATACTATAGTGGTCGACTTAATCAGCTTTATGATTTATATGCACGTAAATACGCACAAGTTGTAGTAAATCGCACACTTGTACTAAATGCTGTTCCAACAACTTGTCAACAAGTGTGGTTTGTCTTGTTGTCAACAAGCTTGTTACAAGTTGTTCCAACAACTCGCTACAAACCTGCAAACCAACAGGTTGTAACAGGCAACAAACTTGTTACAACTTGATAAATTAAATAAAGTTTGTTTCAACTTGTTAACATACAAGCTTGCTACAAGCTTGTTCCATCAACAACTTTTGTCAACAAGATGTGAGATCGAGATTTTTACGTGGGAGGAAGGCGCCTAGGACGGCAGATTTGTTAATTAATGTAATTTTGGGCGAATTAGTAAATAAATTGAAAAAAATACTTCCCCAAATTGGAAATTATGGCACGTCTATAAAGGTTGTAGTATATAGTTAAAAACAAAATTTGGCAGTGAAGCATTATAGTATAGTTTGAGAAGCAGCATATCATTAATTAGCTAAAACGTTTTCCTTAAAAATATCCGGGCGGCACCTATCAACTCTTGATATTTGCTGATGAGTCACTTATTTATTTGGTTGGTTGGTAATATTGACTAGTCTGGGCGCCATTAACTGGCTCATATACTGTATTTTACAGGCATTAAATTTTACAACTTTATTTCGAAACCGTCGATAAACGATAACTGTGGGAAATTAGTAATTGCGTGACAGGAAACCAAACCCGTATGTCCAAAACGATGCAGCTATTTCAGATCAAAATCATGTCCGGGTCCTCACGTTCCTGGCAATACCGGCCTGTCGACAAAAAGTTAAGGGAAATATTTGTGTCAAATAGAAGTGCACGACCAATCTCCAACAGGCAATAAAATAGTGTTGTGTTGAACTGCCTCACCCTATTTTTCCTCAATAACTTTAAGTATATAGACAATATCTTCAGTCATATTTTGGGCGTGAACAGCTATAATCATGACTTAACCTGATATTGTTCTGAATTTTACAATATTTTTATGTTTTGACTAGTCAGCTGGGTGCTATAAACGTTCGTATAGTTTTACAGGCAAATGCTTTCATCAGTCATCATATCAGTAACAGATTCTGGAAAATTCTACATATTTCAAAGTTTCCATAAGTTAAAAATTTTAACAACAGATATGATTTTAAGTTCTTTGTAGGTTTGCATGGCGATAAAACATATAATACTTTTGATTTTTGGAAACACCACATAAATTTATTACTCAAGATATGATCAAATTAAAGATATGATTATGATTATATTTTTTATATGATTTTAGTTCAGAATTTCCCACAGTGCGAGTGCGTGGAGTTTGGTAATTTCACATCCATTTCTTTGATTTTTCGTCGCTTAAGAGTATATGTGATGTAAAGAAAGTGCCGGCCAGAGTAGAATATGCGCAATGCACGCTTACAATTTCCCTGCGACTAGTACTTTTTTCAGTAGATCACGTTCTGTGGGGCAAGCGTTCTCAATTTTTCTGTAAATATAGACCAATATAGCTAAATACGTTATACATGCATGATTCAATCTGTGCCAGAAGGTGGGTTGCTGCAGGTGTAGTGGCTCATGGCCGTAAGTTAACCCACTGCAATTAAAAAATGAAGAAAAAAAAATGGGAAAATTTAATAGAATCACTCACAACCATTTCGATTGCCGTCACGGAATCACCCTTGTTACGGATTTGTTCGAATGATTACTTGAATTCCTTGTTTAGCAGTAATGCCTATAAATGTATATTCAAATTAAGTACAAGGACTTAAAATGAAGTGAATCGAACTTGAAAAGTGGGTGAATGCCAAATGTGCTGATCTCATTGGCATAATAATGTAAGCAATAATGACGCGCGAACACACCCCAGGAAAGATGAGTCTGTCTCATTTTTTCTAGAGATATCTAGATATGGATCATAAGCACAAGCTAGAAAGATAAACCGTCAAGAATTAATAGAGTGTCCGCAGTCTTGAGTATTAGAAACCTGACCTTATATGCGTAATTTGCATAAGTATGCATATACAAGATGGCAAAACATCATGACGTGCAAATATTCAAACAACGAATCCTTTCTCAATTAATAAACAGTATTATGTATTTTGATTGGTTAAGTAATCTGACACTCGACGCCCGGTATGTCACTTTGTTGGGTGCGGAGCATTTAAAAGGCCACAACCTCAACGGCCACACATAAATCACAGAGTATCACAGCGTATCAAGTTTTCATCCCAGTTTATCGTTTCAAAATACAAGACTTAAATCACACAATGAACAAGTTATTCCTCTTGGTTCTGGTAATTACTGCTCTGGACTTATGTTCCACACGTCCGGCGCAGAATAATGGCAAGTCTAAAAAGACCACAAGCTCTTGTTTGCCTGGTAAGTTTCTGTAATGTTATCGACAATATTTTGCGTGTGTAAGTTGCGTTGTTTATATGCCAGACATAGTACGGTTTTGGAAATGGTGTATACGTAGTCTTGTTTGCTGCACGTTATTAGACACTTCTACGCTCGGTATAGCTATCAAATAGTACTAGATAAAACGCCGTAGTGGTTAATATTACAAGTTTAACCTTGTATTGATTGTATGTATGGTAATATAATCCTTTTGTCAAGACGGCTAGCTTTAATAGTGATTAGTGCCTAGTGGTGACAAATAACTTATTAATTGACTGAAATTATTTGTGTGCACGTTATTAAATACTCGTTAGTCGCTTTCGCTTGTTAAATTTTGGGGAGCGAGGAACTGAAGCTTGTCGTACAAAATAACGGCTTGCTATACAAACATTTAAAAATATGACGGCTCACTGAGCAAATATGAATATCGTTGAATGTTGAATGAGTATATTGCTGTTGTTATTGTATAAAATTTATAGCGAAATATGTTCAATAGTTCACGGCCAAAGCTAAAAAAATTTCAATAGCGAAAATCTGAAAACAGAGCCAGGGGCTACAGTACAGGTTTATTTTCGTAAATTATTGACAGTTGACATTATTGAATGGGAAAAGTTTCCGGTTCGTTTGGCGTTGCATGACTGAGTAAAGATCGAAGTTTTTGCCTCGTGATCATGCTGTTAACTGCCATCAAATATATTGTGGCTCACTATAGATCTGTGGTGAACAATGTTCAAGGACGTTAAGTGAGCCATCAAATGTCAAATGAGGATGAAATTCGTTTGGGTCTCCTGGCTCCTTGAAAAAAATTTCTATAAAAAATCCCTCAGTAATGAACCCTTCAGTAAAATCCTTAAAAATCGCTACAAACCCCGAAAAAATCTTGAAAAAAAACTCCAAAAATTCGAAATCTCAAAAATCACGTACACTTTTTTGGAGTGATACATCCTCGTTTCTTGCTACGTTGTTTAATTAATTTAAAAATTTCCATTTCCACCTATCGGTGTGTTTCCCACTCAGCACACGTTTGTAATCAACATAAGGGACTTAAGGGAGTTTAAGCTTCGCGTTATACGTCAAACGCCAGGCAAAGCGGAAAAAATTTACGGTATTTATTTTTCAGGCAATAAAGCGTAAATAAACTTGCTGTTTTAAAACTGAAATACGTAATTATTCTTTCGACGCAAGAAAGAAAATATGAAACGAAAATGTTCAACGAAAGTTTTGCCAAGAAACTGTTGAACTCCCTACGTTTACGGCAAACCGCAAACAGCAAACTTCAATCGCATTTGAAAGTAAGGCCTACAATTTCGACAGCCAAAACTAGTAGCTAATTCATGCTTCAATTTTAGTGCACAAATTGCCCTAACTTCGAACAGCTAACATGGTTGACTTCAAATTACGATTTGAAGTTTGCGGTTAGCGGTTTGCCGTAAAACGTCAATCTTAAAGTCCCTAATGTCAATCAAAATGTCCGTTTACCATATAAATATGCAGTTACGAAAATCCGTGTTATACTAGTCGATTCTACAGTAAGTCCAAAATAACGGAGTTTATTCAAATAACAACTAAAAGTTCCTTACAAATATAAGGATACATAGTTATAATTAGTTAAGGCCGGTAGTTCCGTTTCTTGGGACGCAATGTAGTGCCTAGTGGGTGGATATTGAATAGTGTTCGTTTTCATCGGCAGTTGGAAACCCACGCACCTCAATCAAAAACACACCCTTACGTGGGTTATTCACACGAATTAAGGGATGTGTTTTCGAAGTTTCGGGAAACTTCCAGCCACCCGAGGTGCGTCCAATCCTGGACTCACCGAACCTGCAAGTATGTTTGGTTTTTATACACATTTTACTTTTTAGTATATAATTTCGTGTTTGGATAACGAACATTTTAGCCGCCAACACACTACGCAAACAAACTTAGGCTTAAACTAAAGCTTAAAAAATTCTCTACAATACTCCCTTATTCTTCAAAAGAGAAAATGAACACATTCCGCGAAAACAATGCCAAGATTTATATAAACCTGCTCGTGCCGAACAAATTTCGGCGGCCATCTTTCTTTTTTTTCCACTTTGAATACAGAATATTCCATTTTTATCAAACAAAATAAAAAAATAATAATTATAAAACAATTAAAAACAGTTAATTTATTTCTTATTTAAATCTTCGTCTGAAATTTGTTCAAATCGCTTCATAATGGCCGCCGCCGAAACATCGATCTCGAACCCACCTCCTAAACATACGTCAGCAGGTGGATTCGAGATTGAACGCACCTCCTCGTAGCCAATAGGAAAGCCGCTAATACGCTAGGTATGAGATAAAAATTCTGACCAGATGTAACTGAAACTAGTCATGATTTTCTACCTTTTCAACTTTGTATAAATGAGCTCTACGTTTTTGGCAAAATTGTATCACTAGTACTCTCTGATAATAAAATAACCTGCCAGCTTGACTTTGATTCTTTGAGAATCACAAGAAAACTATAGATGTGACATACGTGCAGTGCAGGGACGGGGTCTTGGAAAGGATGATGGGGCCCAGGCCCAGTGACGGAGGGATAAAAATTGGAGTTGGAGTATTACTGATCAAACATAAAACATTTCAGTCGCTAATTAGTCTTGTTGGCGAGCGCGGGGGAGGGGGGAGGGGGAGTAAAAGAATTTCTGGACATACCATTTTTCAGTAACTTTCGAATTAATGTACCGTAATTTTTTAAAATTTACGGTAATATTTTCGTAAATTTAGATTTTTTAAATATAAATTGTAATATCTTAATCTTGATTTTCAAAACTAAGACATATATTTTTATCTTTTTCAAAGTTTTAATTTAATTTAGGGGCCCATGACGGCAGGGGCCCACAACAAGTTCTCATCGGCTCGTCCCTAGCACAGTCCCTAGCCAGCACGTTCCTGCATTCGTGTTTTACTGTTTGACGTTTGAACACCTAAATTATAATGTTACTAGACTTTCCAGAGGTTGAACGTAGTAAAAGTAAACCGACTGCCAAAGTTTAGAAAGGGAAAGGGCAAAAACAGATGCTTTTTTAACGACATCAAATTTGCATGTCCTCGATCTAAAAAATATTATTCTCCATGTCCATGCATGAACTTTAGCTCACTTATTTCCCAATCTCTCAGTATTAAAATACACTAGTTAATTAACACACATTCATGATTCATTTCACCCAACTTGTTTCCAGTTTGCCTTGAATGAAAGGTATGCATGTCTTAGTAGTCTCAATTAGTCTCAATAATTATGACAGCAGCAATTCACAGTACTTAAAGATATGAGGAAGTCAGAAACTTGAGGAAGACAATCTGCAAGAGAAAGACAAAGAATCTAATATATTTTCCTGCATCTCTTACATATAACAAAACTCTTAGCCTTTTATTAATCTCTTTCTTAATTCTTAATTCAGTTGGTATTCAAAGTCACGGCATCATGTATTATGTTTACTCATAACATCTTTGATTCTCATACACACGACGGGAATATATTACATAATTTACATCGGGACATGCATTGTCTTGCATGAAATATTAATATTGAACATTAGAATCCCACATTGAAATACTGAAATACTGAAAAAATAATTTCCCAGTCCCACTGCGTCCACTGCCCATTTTGCCCTTGTCTGTTCAGTTATAAATATACAGAGGTCATAACGTGGGTAAGAACAAAAAGGTGGACCAAGAGTCTTACCAGGCTCATACTTTTCACTTACAGGTCATAGTTTGCAGTCATAACTAACCTGAAGTCATAACTGAACAAACAGCGGCATGCAGTATTGAATTGTTATTCAAATTAAATTTTATTTTTATAGGCCAAAAAATGCCGACATTCAAGATTATTGCATTATATGACAATGTTACTTTGACGTGTCCCTTTCTCGCACAATCAGTTACATTTTTAAAAAATTGTAAACCAATAGCAGTGAAACAAATTGCGTCCAACAAATTCACAATATCTGGGAATTCATTGACGCTTACGAGATATGTCACAAGGGATAATGGAAAGTACTCGTGTAAAGGAACGGACGCAAATGGACAGACAAAAGAGTTCACATGGGTACTTCATATACAAATAAAGAGTAAGTATGTGTTAGCAATTATTATACAAAATATTGCTATAATTAAAACGACAAGCAGATCGCCGATCTACAGTCACTATTAAATTGATGTATCCCGCAAACTTGTATTGTAAATCATGACAATAGCGGTGACAAAAGTCTCGCTCTAATGCCGGGTTTTAAGGCGAGGGATGCCAAAATTCCACCTCATAGACCCTTTTCGTAATGACGTCAAACGCGGAAATGCAATTTATGCGAAGTGACAATTCGCAATGCAAGTCGTTACAAATTGTCCCGTGGGACATCGCATTCAGGGTATAACCACGTCCAACATGGCATTATGAAAAAGGTCTATATAAACCAGAAGCGTATGACGACTGCACGAAAACTGAATTTCCGTAAAGTCTCTGAGACGGTAATTTAATACATTTCTGATAAACGTGTAGTTCATGCAGTCACTCTAATATGGCCGCCTCAAGTATTCAAAGAGCCGTTAAAGCCTCGGTCAAACGAGAATGAGAGTTGATGAGAGTTGGCACTTGGCAGTCAGCCAGTCATGAATTGTTACGGGGAACATTAAAAGTTTGACGAGTGTCTCGCTTACGCTTCAACTTCAATAAAATACATGATATTGTTGGAAAAACATTAAGAACAGCTAATCAAGATCGCGTGACTGCCAACTGTCATGCACTCTCATCCTTGAATTGGCTTATGAAGTCGTGTTTGAGAAGTTTCTGGCACCTTTCGATCGAAGAGACGTTTGCATGGCCTTTTTATGATCTATTTATAATCCACTTTAACCGTATCACAAACGGTACGGTATATAGTCGCACAGCAGTGCGATCTGTCAAACTATGTCGAGTCACTCCCACGAAACGCGTTGAAATCAAGTTTTGTTACAAATTATTTTGTTGCCCTATTACTTTTTGTTATAAGTAATTTTGTTGCCCTATTACTTTTTCCATAAATCTATGCAGATTGGCTTGGCGTTTTTTATATTACTGTCTGGGGAGCAAGAAGATATGACACTCACACTAAAATAGATACGCACTACGTACTTGCTGATGACCTACTTTTTTCTGATAATATGGTTAGGCTTTAGAGTACAAGATCATTCTATAATTCATAAGCTATAACTAAAAAAATATTTTCATTTTTTAGCTTCGACCACTGTAAAAGATATAGAGAAACCAGTTAATGACGCCGTAATGATCGATTGTCGACATTTTGTTGGAAAACAACTCTTTTACTCGCATAATAAAGGATTAAAAGGGAAAACTGACATAACAAACAACCGTAGAGTGCTTGGTACAAGTACAGGTTTATATGAACTATTTGCCTTGAAAATCGACGACACAGGATATTACTATTGTGGTGCAGACGATGATAGTTCAAAGCTGGCGGTGAAGTTAGTTGTTAGAGGTATTACCATATAAATACTTATATTACTTATTACAGGTACTTTATATTACATATATAAGACTATCTTGAGTTTTATACTCGACAGAGTAATGAGGTAGATTCACCCTACTAACATGTAGTATCTTGCCTTTTAGACTCGGCAGAGTAACCCTGTCATGAGTCACGACGTACAGTAGATTCACCCTAGATGTACCAGGCAGTATCATGCTTTTTAGACTCGGCAGAGTAACCCTCGGCATGAGTCATGACGTAGATTCACCCTACCATCAGGCAGTATCATGCCTTTTAGACTCGGCAGAGTAACCTCCCTGTCATCAGTCATGAAGTGGATTCACCTTACCAATAGGACTATCTCGCCTTTTAGACTCAGCAGAGTAACCCTGCCATAAGTCACGACGTAGATTCACACTACCAACAGGACTTGAGGACTGTCTTGCCTTGTAGACTCAGCAGAGTAACCCTGCCATGGGTCATGAGTGGATTCACTCTACCAATAGGAATATCTTGCCTTTTAGAATTTGGCGGAGTAGCCCTGCCATGAATCACGAGGTAGGATCACCCTACCATTTTGTTTATATTCTTAACGAGGAAAAGGCAAGCGACAAATTTATTTTCCAGTGAGGAAATTAGTTCTCTATATTTTACAACTCTAAGAGCCTGTTTTGTGTGGTGATGTAGCGACCCTAAAAACGCCGGGTAACGGAAGAATTACTCTGTTGAATCTAGATCAGAAGGCACGATAGTCCTGTCGCCCTTGGAGAAAAACATTAAGGTTGTAAAACCTAATCCTAACATTGCTAAATGCTCCTGATCCGAAACTACTCAATTATCTGGGCTGTCATGGAGCGGGCTTGCCCCTCCCCTTATACCTGTGAAACTGTTTCAAGTATTTAGTATTTGTCACCATTGCATGTTTTTAGAGCTGCCTAAAGTGAGTGGAAAATCACTTGTTAAAGTTGGAGATAATGTTCTTTTTAAATGCGAGTACAAAGGACCGCAAACAATCGCCTGGTATAAAGATAACAAAAAATTAGATGTTAAAAGCAAAGCTACAGGGAAGTTGATGAATAAACGTCGAGGGAAACAACATTTGAATCTGCCTCTCACAAACATTACGTCTGATTCAACTGGTATATATGGATGTGGCGTTGTGTTTGATAATAGTACTTTCCTCACAACTATTAAACTTGAACTCTTAGGTAAGTCTGATTTTACAACATCAACGATATAGTTCGCTGCTCAAAACCAACTTGTGTTCCGTGTTCATAGTATGCTGCCATATTTTCGATATGGAAATTTATTATTAGACCTAACCAGAAGCAGTTGCGAAAACCCATCAACAAAACTAATCAACAATTAGTTCTATCGAGCGAGATGCCCCAAATCCTGATATTTATCTGCTTACCTTACAACACCTTGCTTTACTTTCACCATACCTTCATCTTACCTTCACCTCACATTCACGTCAACTTCACGTCACCTTACCTTCACGTCACGTTTACCCCACCTCCACCTTACCTTCACGTCACGTTTACCCCACCTCCACCTTCACTCACGTCACCTTATCTTCACCTTCACCTTACCTTCACGTCACGTTTACCCCACCTCCACCTTACCTTCACGTCACGTTTACCCCACCTCCACCTTCACTTCACGTCACCTTATCTTCACCTTCACCTTACCTTCACATCACCTTAATTTTCATGTGTCCTTCACCTTTCCTACACGCAGGGATTTTTTTAGCCTATACGGTGTAGACCCCAGCAGAAACACGTTTCGTGAGGGAAACGACCGTTGTCTAGGAGTTTATGATAGAGCGGTGAAACGAACCGTATGCCCTGAAGTATGCACAGTACGTGTGATGCATGGAACGCCTCGAATATTCGAACACATGCGAGCACTATACTAAATTACTAGTGTAAGTGAGAACGGTTTTTCTGCGGCTTGAGGAATGTCTGCCGGACGTTTTTGTCAACACGGACGTCACCCGAAAATTGGTATAATTAATTTTGGCGGCATTTTTCATCATCGCGCTCGTATAAGGATGCAAAACATTTTAAAAACTTTAAAACATTTGTGTTTTGTTATATGTGTTGAAGATTGCCACAAACTGGCACACTTAATCCAGTCGCACCTCGGCGATCAAGTCCGTACTGACAAAAATATCGCTTGCTTGAACTCCCTATTGCGAAAACATGCAGTTGCCTAGCTGCTTGCCTCTAGCAGTTTCATTAAACCATTTATAATACCACATGACATGAGCTTTTGTATGATCTTTTTTTGTAGAGTTCGCTAAGATGTTTGGTACATATGGTAACGTTAAGCTAAACTCGTCCTTATGGGTGAATTGTAGATCAAACCAAGGAGACAAGGCGAAATATTCACTGCTAAAAAAGCCTCTTCTAGGTTCTGGGTCGTATCAAAAAGTACAAATTGTATCTCGAATAAAGGACTATAGCGGTGGACTATACAGCATCTCTTCTTTAACTCTAGCGGATGAAGGGTACTACAAGTGTCGTGCTAGTTTAAATGGAGTCACCATTGAAAAGGAGCTTGATCGCGTAATATGGTTTTCACCGACCTTGTAAAAACTACCCTGATTTTGTAGTATATTCAGTAACTATCGTATACTGTAACTGTCAACACAAAAGAACTACTTGCAAGTGGTAAACTTTGTAACCGTTTTATTTTAGATAGAACGTACGAATTGCAAAAGCATTTTACATGCAAACGATGGAAATGCAAGATAAGCATATATTGTTGTATTAAATGTACTTTCCGTGTATTAATATAGCTTAGTTGCACCTATATAATTCGTAATTTTTTAACGATTTTTAATTTAATAAAGATTTGGAAGTGCGTATAATACACTTCGAGTAAATATATAGCTACTATTGTACTCTTAATTAGTATTCTATAACAGTATCAGTGATTAATCTCGTTATGGCGAGGTATTAAAGCAGATAAAGCTTGTCATACACAAAATAACGGCTAACTATGCAAATATTTGAAAATATAACGGCTCATTGACCATGCAGATACGAATGTCATTACTTGAGAGTAGCTAGTGAGTAGTGGTGTCTGTTATTGAGTAAAACAGCGAAATATGTTTAGTTAACGGTCAAAACTGAAAATTTATAGCGGAAATCTGAAAATAGAGGCAGAAGATTTATATTAAATTCGTATAGTATTATTGAATGAGAAAAATTTCCGTTAAATTTCGTGTTGCATGATCATGCTGTCAACTGCCATCAAATAAATTTATATTGTGCTCGTGCACTAGACGCTAGCACCCCTGCCGTTGTGAATAATAAGAAGTTTTTTTTAACCAATGTGACGCCATCAAATGAGGATGAAATTGATACGGTAATTGGTACCTTGGTGTGTTCCCCACACACTGCAGTTTAATTGTGGTCATATTGTCATCAAAAAGTCCGTTTACTATATAAACATTACGCAAATTGGTGTTGCTAGTCGATTCTACAGTATGTCCAGAATATACAAGTAAAAATTCTGTATATTCCATACACTAATAAATATAAGTATACGTAATTAATTACTTTAATTAAAGATGGCTCCGTTTCTTGGGACACAATTTAGTGGGTGGGTATATTGGCCGTTTTCATGCAGTTGGAGTGTAACTAGGCGCCGGTTTTCGCTTTATCAACAGACGTCTGACGATACCATATAGTCATTTAATAATAAGAACATTTCTAACTGATATGAACAGAAAATTTATTTGTGATCATGGTATAATAAAACTCAACATATACGGAAATTTAACTAAGGCACACCTCAAAACCCAATATACGGCAATTTTGCCTCAATAAGGCATACCTAGAACAAAACACGTTAATTAACTCTTATGTGGGTTATTCGCAAGAATTGAAAGAATGTACAGGATGCGTTTTCGATCAATCGATCAAGTAAGCTCAAAATCTGACCAGTTGTAGAAATATATTGTACAGTACATGGATAATATAAAAAACTTAAGAATATTTGTATTTCTAGATTAGATCAAATTAGACACCTTTATCTAAAATACATAAAAGAAAACTTCGCATGTATTTACTCAGGGTGGTCCATTCAGTGAGCGTACAAGCATACCTGCTATCAACAGGAGTCCTGGCTACCTAGGGTATAGTAAGCAGCTTTAAAACTTTAATTGCGTGGGAAATTCGTGGGTTGTGCTTCATTTTTTGAAAAGTGTATCGAGCCATTTATTATTAAATTTAAATGTGTGAATTAAGCCCCAGTCAAACGAGGATGACAGTTGATGAGAGTTGCAACTCCCGCCCGCGTTTAGAGTTGATGAGAGTTTTCGCTATCGCATGGTAAAGTGGTAAGATACAGTCAACTCTCGTCAGCTCTCATGCAACTCTGATGAGATAAATGCAATCTCTTGCTTGCCAACTCTCATCAACTCTCATTCTCGTTTGACCAGGGCTTTAGAATGTTCGGTCAAGTTTCCAACCACAAAGATGACCAAATAGGGAAAGTCGTGAAAACGTTTAACGTGGTCTGAGATAAACCTAAGTGTTTCAAAACAAGCATCTTTCAATTCGGTTTGAATTTTAAAGCGGATATCGATCTGTAAGCACATACTCCTCCAGATCCAGTTCTTTCATGCCCCCAACGAGTAGCTATTAATTTGAACTCCGTCGTCAGTTTTTTTTTCATTTAACCATGCATTTTCGGTAATAAAGGCGAAGCCATAATACGATTTGATGGTAGTTTCCAGTTCATCATTCTTTGGCAAAAGTGGTCTGGAATTTGACAGGAGAGATAGTTATGTCCCTGGGCCTCTGTACTTATTCAACCTCGTACCCAGGGCATTTTGCTTCGTTATTTTATTATTAAAATCATCTCAAATTGTACACTGAGACGGATATATACATAACATGTTACAAGACAAGGTACGTGACTACAGGGATGAGGAACAGGACTTTCGTCTCAATTAATGCCTCACCCCTTATTTGTCCAGCCTGCGTCGCATGTCTGGAATCGGATGATGTTTACCCCTTGATCTGCTTGTCTAGCACAGAGTACGAACTGACGAACTTACAAATTTTATTATCCAGCTGCTTCCGCAGGCCGTAATGATTCCCCAATTTTCGTATGCCCGTTTGTAGGTTGGAAATTGACATTTAATTAAGTACAATTAAGCCGGAATTCCGCTGTCAGTTCATTTGTTGACTTGTGCCGCTGCAAAGTAAAACACAAACAGTCTAATCAGCAGGACTGTCAATAACAAATTAGGGCCACTTTTAAGAATGTGTCAGTGGAGGGGCCATCAAGAAAAAGGAACCAGGGAGGTGGTGAACTGGAAATGTGGAATCTTTTAGGTTAGGGGGTCTCCGAAAAAACTTTGTATTTTTGAACCTTTGGAGCTTGATTCAGTTCAGCAATTTTAGACCCAATTTTTGAAATATTTCATCCGCCAAGCTTTAGTGATGGGAATACTAAAACATTCTTTTCAATTAAGTCATTATATTTTAGACAGATGAACCACTGGCGCCGCCAATATAACCTTACAATATGTTTGTCGTTTCCCTTGTGGATACCCCAGAAAATGCCAGAAATGCAGTCATCGAGCATCAAAAATATAAAACATTTCTGGGGGAGGACCCACAGACCCGGCCCTCATCTTTTTTACTGAAAATACGTACTGCTGGGGCCGTGGAACAGGGATCAATGAAAGTGGGACGAGCGAAAGAATGATCATTGGGGGAACTTAATCTTCGCTGTCTCAAATGCAAACTTATCAGTTATCCCCGAGCGAACGGCGCCGTTTCGGGCGTAGGTAGATAGATAAATAGTTTATTGAAACATCATCTTGCAGTCAAAAGACTGAATTACATGTGTAGTTTACAAGATTATGAAAATAGAGAAATTAAACAATGTCTACTCGAGAATTTGCATAAAAATTTCTGAGAACGATTTATCATTAAAACTATATTTTTGTTAAAAAAGTTAAAATCTGTCTAACAGTTTTCAGAGAGAGTGTTATTTATAGTGTTTTTTCCGCATAATGGATAATAAAACTGTTCTCAAAGCGGTTTGTATTTGATACTGGGGCTTCGAAGGTTCTTTCTTTTCGCAGATATCATCGAATAATATCCGGGTATATTATTCTCATTGCACGCTTTTGTATACGTTCGATATCCTTGGTAAGGTATTGTGGCAAGGCGCTATGAAATAATTGACATGCATATTCTAAGGCCGACCTTATGCAGCTACAATAAAAGTTGACCAAGTCCACGTTCGCCACATCAGCACGTTTAAGTTGCCTTAGTAGATACAAGCGTTTTGATGCTTTCGAAGTAACTGTATTTACATGATCCTTCCACTTCAATTCATTACTTAATGTAACTCCAAGGGATTTAATACTCGTTACCCTCTCCATTCTCCAATGTTTGATCGCTAATACGTATTGGCTCGTATACAGCTGGTGGTTGAGTAAAGGATAGTATCGTAATGTATCTTGACCAGGTAGAAATATGATCCGTAATATCAGTTTGTAGAGCATTTTGTTCTGATTTATTAATGACTTCGGAGTCCGTGATATGATCGGCAAATTTCCACATTATGGAGGAGTCTTCAGGAAAGGTATATCATTTATCATGGCCAAAAACAGCCAGGAACCAAGTCGTGTACCTTGGGGGACACCATGCAGCTGGAATCTCTAACCAGTCGGAGAAACAGTTATCGTTTAATTTCACCCTCTGCCATCTATTACGTAAAAAATCAGTGATCCAGTTCACTGCACATGGTTTGACACCAAGACTATATAGTTTAGCAATCAAATGGGTATGATCGACCAAGTCAAATGTTTTCCTGTAATCAAGAAAGACATTCCTTAAAGATGAGCCAGTGCCATCTGTTGCCGTTTTGGCCAAAAGTGGAACATCTCAATGCGAGCACTGCATGTAGAGGAGTCCGGGATAAAACCAAATTGTTGAGGATCAACAACCTTTAAAAAGGTTGGTTTAAGTTCACTTTCAATCACGAAACTTTCTGCTATCTTTGATAAAGTTGACGTTAAGGAAATTGGACGTAACTTTAGTTTTCTAGATCCTGGACGATACTGAGACTTTTTGTAATGGAACAACGTCAGCTAGCTTCCAAATTTGAGGAACTTTACAACTTAGAAAAGAAGTATTGATAATGTCCGCAATTGGTGAGGCAATAATGGTTGACTCAGTTACAGTTATATAGGCGTTTCGTGGACGTTTACAGACACAGCTATATCTTCGGATAACGGAATTTAATATTTTTGCACTAAGATTATGCAACAACACTTTTATTAATTATTTAACAATTATTCGCCGAAGGCGAGGTGATTATCGGGGAATATTCCCCGAGACGAAGTCGAGATGAATATTCCCCAATAATCACCGAGCCTGAGGCGAATAATTGTTTTAGTATTTTTGCACAAGTTTTTTTGTGTTTTTCTTGTCTGAATCATCCTCGTTCCCAGACCGAGAAGCCCTGGGAACGAGGATGTGTCTGAATTCATTTTAATTTCGCTAATTTCTTTATCACTATAACTTTAACAAAACGGCTAGCCGCCATTTTGAAAATCTCGATTTTGTTATATTCACCTGTAGGTGAATATAACAGATTAATACGTCAAATTTGACCAATAATCACCTTGTAGGATTTGTTATGTTCACTTGTGCAAAGGATTTCGTCGGTCTCCTGACCTAGATCTTGGTGAGGGTACTGATTCCGCCCGGCTATTTACACCCGGAGAAAGGAACGCATAAGCGAAGTCTAAAGTTAATCAATAATCGCGGGTTCATGGCTATGGTTCACCGTTCATGGGTGGTCATCCTCACTGATTTCAAAATATAGCGGACTGTCGTAAATAGCGAACACTGATTGGTAAAATTTAAAATTTACATTACAACGACTGCATGACGATAGCGAAATAACAAACATTTGCAAGTATATTTCATTTTTGCAAGATTTTGTAAATTTCAAAAGTTTTTTGAGAAATTGAGAAATTTGAGAATTGCTAAAAGAAGGGAGCAAAGACACCGACGTTTCTGCATGCATGTATTTTCTAGTTTAATTGAATACTCATGATTCCCCGTTAGATGGATTGAAATAGTTGTTATGGGTGGTTAAGGTTTCTAACGTTGAGAATTTTGCAAGTCAAATCTTCAATGTAGGAAATTCCATTTAAGAGACTGTAGATTTCAAAATTTTCTGGGGAACATGTCCACGGAATCAAACGAGTTGCCTGGCCTGTCCCCTCCCCAGCTGCCAACCATGCATCATTCTGCCACCTGTGTGGCTGTGCAAATTAAGAGTCCATCGTAATTTACAACCTTTAACGTTAAAAGCTAATTCAGGTAAAATGATTTTACTAAAACCTCTGACCCCCGCCAAACACCTGCTGCTAATTCTTACCATCCTTGCATGTTAGCAGATAGTTGCCTATCTAGGTTGCCCGCAAGTATACTCATAGATCTAGAACTACTGAATTAAACTATCAAGTCAATATTTGACACTGTTAAAAGGTGAGTTATTAAGACCTTTACATTTTCTCCAGTGTCGCCCTACAATACAGGAAATGCCGTTTTAGAGACCCAAAATTTAACTTTTTCCCCAAATTATTAAGTTGTCGCCCCAAAATAAATAAATCTGGATACAGTTGGCGTCTTGGCGATATTTCGGAAATCAAAAGATCTCGCTATTTCGTTGCAATTCCACATCTCATCAATAAATGAAATTCTTTTGGTCCGAGTATCAGGATATACTTTAATACTAACAGTTAAATAAATAACAACCACATTGGTCGGTCTAGGTTGTCTAGAGACATATATTTCGCCGCCCACGCGTGCTTTCTTTGGCAAGTCTATAAATTGAAATTTGATCCAACTTGCTCGACATTAGATTTATAGAGTAGAAAGTCACATCACGATAAATATTAATTTTTAATTGCAGTTCTCTTCACGATTTCTTGTTGCAAATTTAAATTTCCTCACACAAAGTTGCAAATATTTTTACAACGCGACAAACACGCTCCTCTCCCATCCTACCCGTAGTATAATTTTAATTTACACCCAGAAGCTGGGTGACACGTGACCAGCCGAAGCCAGGTCCTTCCTTTGCCTCGCGTTGTTCTTAGAAAGACTCTGGGACCGAGGTTGATTCTACTGCTGAGTTTGATACAGTATATTATTATTGATCAAGAATTATATTGATACAATATATGCTATAGCCATATCTCTGCCAGGGCCGTGAGTTTAAAAATGCAAAGAACGGATTCTTAGATCCTGATCAAGGTCCTGATGCATGCATAATGCATTTCAAACCTAATATATTTAGATTTCAAGATTATAGACGCGTACGTCTATGTTCTTTAATATAATGATGTGGTGTTATCAACAAGCTATAGAAATGCAGTTATAATATAGGTTTTGGACGTTTTGTTTTCATCTGCTTAATTAGGATAATTTACCTAATCGAGATTTAATTGCCTGCTCAACGTGTTTTGAATCATTTGTATAGAAATTGAACAATCTGTCCAAACAATTACAAGACCTGAAATGGTGAAATGCTTTACTGGGTATATGTTCTGGTTGAATTAATTGCTGAATCTTTCTGTGATGTCTCAAACGGATTAACCCCACTCTGCTTCAACAAGATTCACATTACCTCTGTTCCTGACGAGTACATAAGATCAACCCAACAAGTCGAAATCGAATTGAAAAGATCAGTCTTCAGAAAGCAATTGGCTCCGATGACATCCCTAACTGAAATCAGCTGCACCACTGCTTGCTATAGTCCAATATGTTCCATCTTCAATGCCAGCATTGCACAAGGTCGCATTCCGACACTCTGGAAATAAGTTGATAGCGACCTAATTAAGACCTATTTCCCTCACACCGGTGCTGAGTAAATTATTGGAAAGCTTCGTTTTTCGGTGGCTTTTAATCATATCAAACCATCGGCTCCACCACACACACCTTTATGAAATGCGTATTTCCTTCCTTAAAGTCCCTTTGAAATTCGATACCCTCTCTTTATCTGGTTTAAATATAGAAATTGTACAGACCTTCAAACTTCTGGGAATGCTAATATCATCGGACCTTACCTGGAATGCGCACGTTGATTACATCTGCACCAAAGCAAGTAAACGTCTCTAAGCTCTTAGGATCCTCAAACGATCTGGTGCTCCAGCCAATGATTTAATAACGGTCTTTTTTGCATTTATTCGTCCAGTTTTGGAATACGCCTCACCTGTATGGCATTTTTCTCTCCCTCAATTCCTCGCTGACCAAATCGAGAGTATACATGCAAAACGTGCATTGAAGATCTCTTTCCCCCAGTCCTCTTATGCTGCTTCACTAAGAAATGTTGGCCTTCTTACACTTTACCAGCGAAGAGAGAATCAGTGCTTGTCATTTTATAAAAACATCCATCAACACTCAGACGACAAGTTAAGGACGCTACTTCCCAGTGCTATATCTCAAAACAAACGAAACAAACGCACTTATCCTAGCTAAGTATACAAGTGCCAAACTGAACGATATAAGAACAGTCCCAAAGTGTGTTAGAAACTGGGATCGACCGTAGGCATAACATAATATTTTATAGTACATATCATCAATATAGTTTATAATATAGTAGTTTTACACTGAACTTATTGCAATTTTTAAAAATTTTCATATTATCTCTGCAATATCATGTTTTTTAAATTTCTATGAATTTACAATGTAGTACTGAATTAATAAAAATCAATCGATCAATTAATGAATCAATAGATTTAAGTATGACCGTATGATGATATAAAAATGAAGAGACCATGCTGTTTCTTGCAATTAGGGACGGACCATTTGATTTTTCATGGGGGAGGGGCGCATTTTTGAGAGTGCTCGATTTTTTTTTGGACCTCACCGACTCGGCACGATTTTTTTTTATCGAATCTTGCCGCGTGCACGATATTTTTTTAAATTTTTACTATAGCGTTAATACAATAATAACCACGTATGGTTATATTCCGGTTGAAGAATGTATTTGAATATACAGCATATAACCACAAAATAGGAAAGTATAGCAGAAGTGTAACCCACGAAAATTTTAACTCGCTCACGCCATCCGGGCTAGTACTGCCGGAAATTTTTATCAGGTTTTGATAGGTACAAAGTGCCGGTTGTACTAGCCAGGATGGCGTGATTGATAATCGGACGAATCGCTTGTAAAAACTCGGACAAATACTTGCTTGAGTGAGACTTCTGGTATACCTTCCTATTCTATGATATAACTATCACAGCCCATTTTATACTTGGCCAATTTTATACTTGGCCCATTTTATACGGGGCTATGGTCTACGAAATGTAGACCATAGCCCCAAATTGGATCAAGTGTATTAAAGTGTGTAACCCATTTTGCATTGGCGTAATGGCATCTATATACAAATTCTCACGGTTCCCAATCGTATCAGTGTTCCCAATACGTATTATAAACTGCGATTTTTATTCAGAATCAGAGAGCGATATTAATGAGCCGGGTGGGTAAGGGTATTTTTGTGACCCGTGAATGCAGTGGCGTAGCCAGACTATAATTTTTGGGAGGGCATATATCGAACGCCGAAGGCGTAAGCCTTTTTAGGGGGGTCCGGGGGCATTCTCGAGACCCCGGGAAAATTTTGAAATCTGGAGTCCCTCAATGGCGATTTCCCGTGTTTCTGGGGAGAGATTTTGCATAATTCTGAAGATTATTTTGCATAATTCTGAAGATTATTTACTGCAGGAAAGACCTGATTTTTAATGATTTCTCAATAATGTGGATCCTTAATTTGACTCAACGAAGCTTACTTGGTCGCGTGTGAATAGTTAAATCGAAGTTTTAAAAC